TAGGGCAGTCGAAGAATTTAAGCTGTTCGGTTACGTTTCCGTACCTAATTTCGCTGACACGTAAGTCTAATGACGCTCACGACTGCGTTAGCAAATCGAAACCTATAATAGCATCAAACGTACTTAGGGTATCTATTTGCTTCCTGGCCTTTAGGCCAAATATATGCATTAAGCATTTGTTTTTTATTTTACTGGATCCATGTATGGAACTCACAGTGAATGGGGAGTCGACAGGCATTATGTGTTTTAGCTCCTTTACGGGCTTAACATAATTCTTTGCCGCCCCAGTGTCTATCAGAATTTGCATAGTTCTCCCCGCCAACCTTTGCTCGATGAACAATAAGCGGGACCTTCCTCTAAAAAATTGAGAAGATCGTTCGAGTCAAGTGAGTTGTTGTCCTGCTCAATTGCATTCAGTGCGGCTGCGGACGCGTCTTCATAATCCTGGTCTTCCTCAGCAGCTTGCTCAACGTTGTTTATCCGTTGGCGCCTCTGACCAGTCATTCTTTCAGAAGAGTTTGGTCTTTTTGTGTTTTGAGAAGTGGGGAACTGTGTATTAGTATTATTATTATTCCCCTTAGATTGTTTAAAACTCGTCGGGTGTCTAAGCTTAGAAAATGATGGATCTAAATCCATGGGCTCTGGGGCCTGATCTGGCTTACCCCGATCAGTCCAGTTGTCCTGTCTGCGCCAATAATCATTATTTTGATTTTTAATTTGCCTTTTGAAAAAATGGGAATTTTTTTCTTGGCTGCGATCGGACCCCAAATATTTCCCTTGTTTCTCACGCTGTTGCCTTTTGTGGAAGTCTGTATTCTGATTTCTCTGCTCGACAGCCTTGGCATATGTGGCCGCGAACATACTTCGTTCAATGCTGGCCTCTGCTTCCCTAGCTAGTGTCAGTGCCGCTGGCAGATCTTTGGGCTGTGCTGGAAATACGACCGCCCCTAAGGACTTCTTTATGCCCGAAATAAATACATGCAGGGCGTCACCCCTTACCTCAGTATTGAGCAGTGTGGCTTTTTCTGAGTCGTGTGTCATGACGATTTTGTTTGTCACGAGGGTTAACTTTCGTTCAACCTCGTCGTAGTACTCCATAAGAGTTTGGTCCCCTTGACGGACCGATTTAAGCCCTTGCCGTAAGAGGCGGAAGGACGTTTTATCTGCGTAAGAGCAGTCTAACCTAGCCAAAATGGCATAAAAATTAAGCACAGTATTGTGCGATACCAGCAGCGCTCGTACTGGTCCCCTAATCTTATTTCTGATAATTGTAACGGCTTGGAAATGCGCGCCACTGCCATCATATGGTTCAAATATCTCATATGCGTCTGTGGCGGACTGTCTCCACGCCACGTGTACATCCTGTATCCCGGAAAATTTTGGAATCGACTTTATTATGTGTAACGGCAGTCGCACGGCACTGGTATAACTGCTCTAATTTGATTTTGAAACTCGGCTCTAAGCCTTTGTTCCTGTTGAGGCAATGCGGCCTGAATCAAAAGTTTCTATGTTGGCTGCGTTCATAACGTCTATGTCTTCTTCCTGTACCTGTGGTGGTTGATACCTTTGGGGCTCTCGGTCCCACTCTTCTTCGCTTTCACTTTCAATTTCTCGTTTAATCTCCCTATATGGACCCTGAAAGCTCATAAAACTAGTCTATTGTCAACACTAAACACTTATATTATATGGCCGAATATTTGATTCGGCTGATATTAGTTTTGGCCTGGAATTTTATATATTTATTATTTTTATTGTAATATTAATATCTGTATCTATGACCAAGTACTTGATTCGGTAGATATTTATTTGGCTCTGAAATTTTAAAATAATAATATATATATTTAATCTAAATAACCGGGCTTTTGACGTCAGAATACTAAAAAATCTTTTATTATTAGAGGGCGGTAGAGCAAATATTTTTTATTCACAAAACAAATCACACCTGCAGAAATGCTTGAATATTACTAAAAAAAATTTTCGTCTGTTTATATGATTTATTTTATTTTTTTTTTCACTGTGTATGTGTTTGTATTTTTTTTTAAATTTGAAGCTGCATTAATAAGATCAGACCACTTACATATTTTTGTCTAGAATTTTGGATCGTGAATTCTAATAAGTCAGGTGCCAATTATATTTGTAGTCTTTGCGTCGTTCCTCGCCACTGTCCGAGAGGAGTGGGTGACGACGTGGCTGCCTGGTGACGTGGGTTGGAGAACTCCTTCTCCGGGTGTTGCGCTGGCAACTGTTGGTGGACGCCATTTCTGAATATTGCAGAAATATGATGGGAGAACTTCTCTCCGTTATTAACAGCCCTTAAGGCTCGATAACCAATTCAATAATTATACAGCTTTCGCTGGAGTTGTTTAAATAGAGCTATGCGCTCTTTATTCATATCAAAATCAAACTGAAAACTTATAAGCTGTACGTGGCCGGCAAGCCGACCACTTGTCATACAAAAATGCTGACACTAGCAGAAAATGCATAACTCACCATGCCAAGAACCAGGCACGGTCCCTAAAGGCGACTTATGCTTATTCTGTACATAAAGGCACTAGGGTAATCCGAGAAACACCCAAAATTTGTACCGAATTATAAGTTACTCCTTAACTGTGTTAACTTACATATTCTTGATCAGCATCACCAGGAGAGTCCGTCAGTCAAAGTTTAATATTGGGTCAAGTAGTGTCCAGTGGCATTTCATGAAGAGAATTGTTATATCCATTTAAGTCCACGTTAACAGATATTTAATAAAGTACAATTATGACTTGCTATCTTTATCCATTTCCCAGGCTATTTCCTCTTTTATAATGGTTGCATTAAAATGTTTTTTATTTGACTAGTCCCACAAGTCTGGGCGGGACTTCACAGATCGTATTAATGTTATTTTGTGCTTTTGTAAACTCCTGCAATCGACTTTTGTGTTGCTTTTTTGTTTTTTACCTCTATTTTTTAAGTGAGAAGCGCAGACCAAAAAATTTAATTTTGTATTCTTGTGAGGAGCTGAATTCCAGACCTCACAAATGTACATATGTATATATATTTGTATAGGTTAAGAGTAGGATTAAAGCTAGAATAATAAGTTAGTGTAGGGTCAAAATAGACTAGAAGAGCCGAAATAGAAAGTCCCATGGAGGGCAGTGTAAATAGTAGCATAAGGGCTGGCTAGCCCGCCGCAGGCGCCACCACCGCCAGAGCCAACCTCGGCAGAGCCTCACAGCGGCAGAGCCAATACCTGCAGAGCCAATACCAGCAGAGCCACACAGCAGCAGAGCAAACACCGGCAGAGCCAACGCTGCTAGGGCCAACATCGGCCGAACAACACACCGGCAGAGCCGGAGAAAAGTGAGAAAGCAGAGAGTGCGGTCGCGTTCTAAAATCGCTCCGTCTAACCCATCTAGTTTTCAGCACAATCCAACAAGCGTAGCCGGCCATCCGGCTTGAAGTTACGTAACACCCACCTGGACATCTTCTGGTGGCCAGGAGGCCGCAGGCGACAGCTGGGAATCGTTTCCCCAACAGGTTTGGCGACCAGGCAGGGGCCGGTCATAGGTGAGGGAGGGGAGGTGTCTCTGCCTCATTACTTCCACTCGTTGTTTGTTAGTTGTTGTCAATTCCACTCGCGCTTTTTTATTTTCGCAAACACACGTACAGTGGTGGAAAGCGCTTGCGCGAGCAGCTGATTGTAGTGTGCGAAAGGGGCTGCGGGCGCCATAGCAGCGAGCTTCGAACAGGGTGCAGGCCAAGCACATAAGTGCGTGCCGTAGCACGTAGGGAAATATTGGGCGGTTCATTTGAATTTTGGGCGGTAAATTTAAAAAATTCTAATAAATATATTTTAGTACTAAGATTTATTCCTTATATTAAATTTTATTTGTTATTTCCTTTTTAATTTGTGTCCGATCGAAGATCAGCAGGATACTGCGGGAAAAAGGTCCAACCTTCCCGAAAAACCAGTGCACACGCACTGAATCCCCCAGGCGGGGAAATGTCGGGCAGGGGATCGGGGGCACAACACCCTGGCGCCAGCCTAGGAGTGGTGCCAAACGATAGTGGAGGCACGCCGGCAAACAAAGGCCTGGCGCCGCCGCCCAATGCCGACGGTTTTCATACGCCGCTGTCCAGTCTCCCTGACTGGGCCAACATGGGAGCTGACCCATTTAAAAAAAGCAACGTGATGGCGAGATCGCCAGAAAAAAGGGTGGAGTGTGGTGGCAAGCAGCCTGGCACCCCCCCAGCAGGAGAAAAAAGCTGCCCAAGAACTGCTGACGGAGAGCAGGGGGATGTGCTTAAACAGCTGACTGGTCTAGGATCGAAGGCCAGGGAGTTGAAGAAATTAATGGACGGAAAGCGCTCCATCACAAACCCCATGAGGGATATAGTCGATGAAATCGACTACCTCCAGAGGGAAGTTCTGTCGGCTGTGCAATGCATAATCGAAGAACACAAAAAGGCTAAAGAGACAGCCAGGAAAACTTGTGCAGAAGTGCTCGCGAGCGGAAACAGCAAGCGACCCAGGGGCCAAGAAACTGGGAAAACGCTAGCCGCACCAGCAAAAAAGGCGATGCATAAGGCACCGGCAAGCGAAGCCAGTGCTACAAAGGGGATACATGCTGGGAAAGATAGCACCAGCAAGCCCCAAAAACCTGGGAAGAAGCCAGAGGAACCGCCACTCTTAGAGTCATGCCCGACATAGGAAGACGGCTCATAGAGAAGGGAAAAATTAGGCTGGGATGGACTTCGTGTAGAATCCGCACAAAGATAACACCTAAAAGGTGTTTTAAGTGTATGGAGTTTGGCCATATAGCAGGAAATTGCAGGACCCAGGAGGACTGCTCAAAATGTTGCTACAACTGCGGCGCAAAGGATCACCAAGCTAGAGGCTGCAAGGCAAAGGCCTGCTGCATGCTCTGCAGACGCAAGAAGGAGAAAGATTGCGACCACCCAACCATGAGTGGGAAATGCCCGCACTTCAGGAGGGCTATGCAAGGGCTTAGGGGTAAATGAAGTTCCTTCAGATAAACCTAAACCATTGTGAGGTTGCCCAATCGTTGCTTGAGCAAAATGTCATCGAGGAAAACGTAGACATTGCGCTCATAAGTGAGCAATAAAGGAATAAAAATTCCGGAGAATGGCTCTCAAATTCCGGAGAATGGCTATCAAATAATAGCAAAAAGTCGGCAATATGGAGCTGCGGGAATCCAAAGCTTCAGATTACCAAGAAAAAAAGCGGAAATTGCTTCGCTAGGGCCCATGTGAATGGTATAGCTTTCTATAGCTGTTACCTGCCGCCAAGCCATAGCCTTCCCCAGGCAATATCTGTGCTCGAAGATATTGCAGAAGATGCTCGGGAAAACCGTCCAGCCGTAATAGCAGGGGACTTTAATGCCTGGGCTACCGACTGGGGCTCCCCCCGAACAAATGCGAGGGGAAGGGCACTACTAGAGAGCTTCGCCGCACTTGACCTAGTGCTGCTGAACTCTGGAACGAAACCGACCTTCTCTAGAGCCGGAACCAGTTCCATCATTGACCTCACATTCGCGAGCGCTGGATTGGCCTCAGGCTCCAGCTGGGAGGTTAGTGACACCTACATGGGTAGTGACCATGCAGCAATAATCTGCACGATAAAACCAAGAAATGGCCCACCACGGGTTCCTAAGACCGTGCCAGGGACAGATGCTGTTTGAGGACCTCTCCACTAGCGGTACAGCTGAAGAGCGGGCAAACCACATCGCAGACTACACAAAGCTAGCCTGTGATGCATCTATGCAGAGAAAGGGGAAAAACCCATCAGGAAGAAGGCCTGCATACTGGTGGAACCAATCCATTGCGGAAGCCAGGAAAGACTGCCACAGGGCAAGACGAGCATACCAACGCTCAAGAGGAAGGCCCGAATTTGAGGCACTTCAAATACTTTTCAGGGAAAGAAGACGAGCCCTGGAAAAAAATATAAAAGAGAGCAAACGCAGATGCTTTAATAATATATGCGAAGAAATAGACTCCAACCCATGGGGCTTCGCATATAAACTCGTCACAAAACGGCTGCGGGTATTTAGTAGGCCATCGCTGACATGCCCAGCCGGCCTAAAGAGGATAGTGGAAACACTATTCCCAGAGCAAGAAAGTATGGCGCGAACCTCACAGATCGTGAATACTGCGACCATAAAGCTCACAAGTGCCGAAGAAGTCCATCGGGTATTGAAGACAATACTGGACGACAAGGCACCGGGACCAGATGGCATCCCGAATAAAGTCCTTAAAATTGCTATTAAGGCTAACACAAAAGAGTATGTTGACATGTATAACGCATGCCTAACAGAAGGTGTGTTCCCTAGTCGCTGGAAAATACAGCGGCTGGTACTCATACCAAAGGGGGACAAACCAGCGGAGGAGCCTTCTTCATATAGGCCACTCTGCATGCTAGACACGGTGGGTAAAATTCTTGAAAGAATAATCCACTCCCGGCTAGAAGGTGCCCTTGACGAAACCAACGGCCTCTCAGAGATGCAGTATGGTTCTCGAAAGGGTCTATCCACCATCGACGCTGTCGGTAAACTGTGCGAAGTCGCAGATAAAGCGATCGAGGGGAAAAGGTGGTTGTACGGCACAAAGCAGTACTGCATAGCGGCAACGTTGGATGTTAAAAACGCATTCAACTCCGCTAGATGGGACCACACACTAAATGCATTGAGAAACCTTAATGTTCCAATGTATATACAGAGAGTAATAGCGAGCTACTTTGAAAGCCGCCTGCTCCTGTATGAAACTGATTCTGGGTAATCGACCCACAGGGTTAGCGGGGGAGTCCCACAAGGATCAGTCCTAGGCCCCTTGTTGTGGAATGCCATGTACGATGGGATCCTTAGGATCGCGATGCCCGATGGTGCACGACTCATTGGCTTTGCCGATGATGTAGCCATAGTAGTCACTGCAAAGAAGCTACCAGATGCAGAGAGAATCTGCAACGAAGCTGGGGAACGAGCAAGCGCATGGCTTGACGCCAAGGGACTCACTTTCGCAGCGCACAAGACGGAAGCAGTCCTGATAAGCACCAGGCAGATAGTAGAGACGGCTACTATCAAAATTGGAGGAGCCACAATTAAATCTCGCCCAAGCCTAAAATACTTGGGCGTTATGATTGACCACCGGCTAACCTTCAAAGAACATCCAGCGTACGCTAGTGGCAGGGCAGGCAGGACTGCGGCCGCGATCTCGAGGATTATGGCTAACACTCGGGGACCGAGGCAACCAGGCCGGAGATTACTGGTAAGCGTTGTCACATCGACGCTGATGTATGCTGCTTCCATATGGGCCCGAGCCACAAAAAATGGAAGTTATATGCAAGATGCCGACTCCGTGCAGAGACTGTGTGCCCTGCGGGTATGCTGTGCGTTCCGCACGGTATCCCATGACGCGGCGTTGGTAATATCGGGAGTTATACCGATTGACCTTCTGGCATTGGAATCAGTTGAGATCCGAGCAGGTAGCACGGAAATCGAAACAGCTGAATCCCTACGGAAAAGGTGCAGAGAACTTACCATTGCGAAGTGGCAGGAGAGATGGGCACAAAGTAGCAAAGGACGATGGACGTATAAGCTTATCCCAGAACTGCAGAGATGGCTGGGACGGAAGCATGGATATGTGGACTTCTACTTAACGCAACTGCTGACAGGACATGGATGCTTTAAATACTATCTTAATAGATTTAAGCATGAACGTTATCCGCACTGTCCACTCTGCGAGTCGGATAACGAAGACGCAGAACACGTGTTTTTTGTCTCTCCGAGATTTGAAAATGAACGAAGAGATCTGAGCATTAGGGTTGGGAGGACGCCAGCCGCTTGTAACCTGGTGGACATTATGCTCGTTTCGGAAGAAAATTGGTCTGCAGTATGCAATATGGCCACAATAGTACTCAAAAAGCTGCGCAACGCGGAAAGACTGCGAAATTCCAATAGGATAGAATCCTAGAAAGCCCTAAGGGCATTCCCCCCCCGGCGAAGTAATACCTAACGGCAGTTCCGCCGGGGAAGCGGGGAGGGGGTGGAGTATTTACTGGGTTAGAGTCCCAGACTTCGGCAAGCTATCTCAGCTCCGAGTTGGCTTTCGATGCTTTAGACCACCACTACAAAAAAAAAAAAAAACAAAAAACACACTGGCAGAGCCAACCTCGGCAGAGCCACACAGCGGCAGAGCTTCAGAGCCAATACCGGCAGAGCCACACAGCGGCAGCGCCAGCATCGGCAGAGTCGCACACCCGGCCGAGCGACGGGCAGAACAGACGAGTATCAACCAAGCCGAACAGCATCGGCGATCAGCACCCGAAGGGCGCCCTTAGCAACAGCACCGACGTGCAGACAACGGGCCGAAGCCAGCCGCCGACACAAAGCTCTCGTGCCGGCCGAAGGCGAGAACGCCAACGAACAGCAAAGGGATCGAAACCATCCCGTAAGCGCAGGTGCAGGACAACAACTGCAAATGGATCAATAAGATGATTCTCCGGATTCAGCAGGAACCCGCAAAGTATCCCGACTACCGCGAGGAGAACGGACAGCCATACCGACGTAGGCTTGCGTCCGGAAGAGGAGGATTACACCCCCTGGAAGCTGTGTGTGGGCACTAGTTCCCGCAGGAAGGTATTACAGGAGTGCCACGATCATCCAACCGCCGGACACCTGGGCGTACGGAAAACATGTACATGTATTACTGGCCCAGACTGTTCCGAGAAGAACCCGTCTACGTGCGACGATGCCTGAGCTGCCAACGCTTCAAGGTTAGCCAGGAGAAGGCAGCTGAAAAAATGTTCACGCGGCAGGTCGACGAACCTTTCCAGATCCTCTGCGCCGACTTCGTGGGCCCGAGTGGGCCGCGATCAAAACAAGGGAATACGGTTCTTCTAGGATTCTTGGATTCCTTCAGCAAGTGGGTCGAACTAATCCCCTTGCGACGGGCCACAGTGCCTTACTTGGAGCGAGCCTTCCGAGAACGGATCCTCAGCCGAATCCCGAATACTCTGGTTTGTGGCAATGGGACTCAGTTCATCAGCAGAGCATTCCAGGCTTTCTGTAAATCCCTGAGAATGGAATTACACCATACTGCTCCATACACGCCGCGACAGAACCCTACCGAGAGGGCTAACCGCATCGTAAAGACCATGATAGCGCAATATCTTGGCGACGAGGCGCAGAATACCTGGGATCAGCTACTACCGGAGATATCTCTCGCGGTCAACAGCAGCGTATCGGATACCACTGGTTTCAGCCCCGCCTTTCTTGTCCAAGCCCGGGAACCACGCCTTCCCAACGCACTCTACCACGAGGTGACGCCAGGACGGAAAACAGCATTAATCCCGTCTGAAGAACAAAGCCAACAGCTGCACGGCATCTTCAAAGTTGCCCGTGATAATGCTGAGCGTGCCACCGCCGAGCAGGGTCGGCACTATAATTTGCGACGACGAGAATGGAGGCCAGCTTTGGGCGCTCTCGTTCTCGTGCGCCGGCACGTGCTATCCAACGCCGCAGAGGGTTTTGCCGCTAAGCTATCTGCAAAGTTCGACGGGCCTTACAAGGTCATAAAGTTTTTGTCCTTAAACATAGCGCGGCTGCAGGAGCCCACGACTCACCGACGCCGTACAGCAAGTATCAACAACTTGAAACCATACCACCAAGACGGTGACGAAGACAGCGGCAACGATTTGGAGCAGACAGGTCAGGCAGATATTACCAGCCTCAACGGCCATAGTGGACGAGGAGGAGCCCAGGGGTCTGCCACTCGGGCATCCCCACCTCACGGCGACACCCCCACACCCGGACATCGACTTGCCAGCGCTGGTGCCGCTTCCGCGGGCCCCGGACGCACAGCTCGGCGCGGCATATTTAGAGATCTCGGACGATGAGATCGGAGAGGTCGGCCCTACGATCAGCCAGCAGGGAGGCGGTGAGAGCGACACCACGGAGGAGCGCTTCAGCCCGGTGCCGGCAGCCTCGCCCAGCCTGGAGGAGCTCATGGACCAGCTCAGCCCCCTCCCATGGGAGGATGAAGCTCCTCCACCGCCTGACGGCCCTCTGCCCGGCCGGCCCGCCGACTGCACACTGGTGCTGGCATTGCCACCAGCCGCTCTACGCACGCGCCACGCCAGAGAGACGCCCCGGACGCCACCACCATGCCCCTCTGCAAAACAGATACGGATACAGCTGGTCCTGGCCTCCCCTGACGGCCCAACAACATCGGCAGTCGCCAGGAGCGGCGCCGCCTGCCAGGGCTGCTATCGCGACCGCAGCCACATGCGCCGCCAGCCCGAGCTCCGTCTCTGCGAGGGAGCTTTGATGTCGTGTTAGGGCGCACGGTTATTAACCAGCCCATCCAGCTCGTAGCCCCGCTACCCGCCGCGGACGCTTGGGCGGAGCAACGCCCAGCAACCACGAACGCGACCCTCCGGGGATTTTGGCAGATGCCAAACTCCGCCGCCATGCACCATGGCCGATCGAGGAGGCGCCCACCGAAGAGCCCGAAGAACCAGAGCCCCTCATGCGGGCACCTGAGGGGTGGTGTGTCCCGGTCAGGTGGATTCCGGTCGAACTCCTCGACCAAATACAGGAACGTATCCGCGGCGCGAACGGCCGCAACCTGCGTTTCTTGGCCGAAATCGGAGGAGACCGTTACCGCGTACAGGTGACCTGACAAAGAA